TTTTATATTTCTTAATTATAAAACTCATTAATATTGCATGAACTATTACTCCGATAAGGGCTTCCTATATGGTCAGGTGATTGACCTTGTAAATCTGATACAATACTCAGATTTACAACTGTTACAACACAGTTGTCACCATTGAGGCAACCCAACACTAGCAAAGGTCTCAGTTTTAGTATCACATCATAGACCTTCACTGTGTTTTGAAGCAAGCAAAGACGGATAGCAGCACTCCCTTATGCAACAGATGACATTTTTTAATCATTTATCTCACTTAAATTCATGTTAATTAGTGTTGGAGTTTTATAAGTCATTTACAACATTCGTGTCTATGTTGTATGGGAATTGCAATCCCTCATCTGCAGCTCAAGATTGTACTTCCCATACAACACGGACTATACATCAATTCTCTATTTTCCTTATGATTTTGATATTCCAAATCTTCTGCTGTCAATTTACTAATATCTAGTTATGCAAGTATCAAATCATAGTCCACTCAACCCTGTATTCTTCTATGTACTTATTGACTGAGTGGGAGGGCCGTACGGGAAAATATTTGGCTCGACGTTATGCCGTACGAATGACAGAGAGCCAAATATTTTCCCGTACGGCCCGACTTAACTCAGTCAATATAAGCATTTTATCATATGACAGCGTTTTTTAATGTAAAAAAAAAAAATAATAAAACCGCGCGGAACTTCAAGCCGGGAAAATACGGGTTTGTATGGACCTGTCGCGAAAAGGCGTTCGGACCCCATCACGTGACCATTTTCCAAAGGTCAGTGAGAGCGCGCGTAGGGCCGAAATACGGGTTGTATGATAAATTGCTTATGTAATTTGGTTTTTAGTCTAATTCTAAGTCTAAAGTTAGCAAAAATCATTCTTTTTTTTAACTGAGCACACACATGACACATGACACATGAGATGTGATGGTTTCAGCACAGTGTGCATGTCCTCTTATTGACACATTCTAATCAGCCAATCAGCGCGCGAGGAATTAAACACGTGTGGTAAAATTATAATAGGACTTTGGTCGATGTCMTTTTCAACGTTGAGTAAAGGTTTTTGTTATTATTATCGCTGACACATCAATTTAATTAGCTGTGGTTATAATASATGGATCTTTCAATAATTTAATATGCCATTGATATAATAAATTCATCGATMAGTGTTATAAATTTTTGTCGATTGRTATTWTTATGACTCACCTGGACAACGTCCAATAACAAACCGGCAGCYACGGTTCCAAAACCAGCCACCAAAAAAGGACAAAATACTTGTAAAGCGATGGCAAAAGACGTTTCCTCGCTYTCWATTCTCWTCGYATTATCATCTAGATGAAAATCGGGACTTWKYGAACCACCCGGATCAACAATCAAAGGYTCCTGATCCTCATGGTTGCCACTCAAACATTCTCCATTTGCTACATCTTGATCGCTGTGAAAACGCGGTAAAATTCTGCCAAACGGCTCTTCGTCAGATAATATTATTTCTTTTTCTAAGTCAACATCTGGACTTARGAAAGYCATTCCAGAATCGTCAACTGGWGTAGCYTTAGGAACCATTTTGGTTGAATTTTTTTTGGAACGAGGTTGTCTTTTTCTTATCGAAGAATCATTCGATTTAACRTGYTTCGGGGCTCCAGCCACACAAATTATAAAAATGGCTTGAAAATATTGATACATGTGCGTTCTGATGACTCAAGTTCTGCATTKAGGGAACCAAAAGCAAAATTTCATTCGACCAAAACTCACTYCAACACGACAGCCATTTTGAGACACGTATAATTGGGTTCTAGGCSTACTCTCCTATTAAAAGCACAGGATACCCAAACATTAGGCTTGCGGGGGCGGTCTTAAAAGATAGAAAAATTAATGATTAAACTGAATCATTAAAAAAGAAAACGTTTATGATAATTAAAGCAAAAAGAACTTTTGATAAAAATATTTCATTGCTTGATTTCGAATATTTCGGCAACAACTCCAAAATGGAGTTGTACTTTTGGCTTACTTGTGCGAATGCTGTAAAAACATCCACTCCACACACTTTTTATGCGTTTACCGATCTGTTGGAAAAGGATTTTATAACAGTGAAATAAAGTCARTAAAACCTCCTTCTGTGGAGTCGACATCGACTGCATGGATGGAATATTTAGTGGGGGTCATACTACTTTTTTTTTGAATTTTTGTTTTTTTTTAATATTGTGATATGTTTTTCTAATTYCTAATTTTTATGTATTTATTATAGTTATTTATATATATTTGTAAAGCGCACTGAGACTGTGTATAGTGTGCTATATAAGCATTTCTTCTTATTATTATGATTACTACTTACATATTTTCTTTAAAAAAGCTCAAAAATTCTCACAAGGGTTATTGACTTACAAATGTGGTGGAGGTCTTAATGCAAAAAGTGACAAAACATTATAATTTCATATCATAATTTCACCATAGGATGATTTATAATATTTACATTTTAGCTGATTTGCATACGCGCCGCAAGGTCAACTTCAAAAACTGATTAAGTATAGCAGTGTTTCAGYATAGAAAGATTACCTGCACTGAATAAAATGACCTTCAATTCAAGTTACGCTATAATTTCATKTTTAGGCAAATTTTATTTGAACTTCTGAATACTTTCAGTCTCGTCCGGTGCCGTTAGTGGCAAAGGTTTTTTACAACCCTCTTGGTTATTAGGAAAACAGTTGCGCGAGGAGCCTGTGGCTTTTACCAAAGCAAGGCAAAACAGGCAACATCCCAAAATGTTGTCATTTTTGAGTTTGTTCATCCCAAAGTGCAAGGTCAGAAAAATAGTTTTTTGATGTTGGAAAAAGTCATATAATTTTGATATTACTTGGCACTTTTGYTCATTTGAGGACAGTGGAGCAAACATGTTGCGCGCTTTTGTTTTCACCGCGAAAAGCTCTATTGGGTGTTTATCGAGAGATATAGAAAGGCGTTTGTCCTATAATTTAGGTTTTATTGTAAATAATATAATCTTGGACTATCTAAACTTAGATTATTTTAAATAAACTTATTATTTTAAATTTTAATTTGATATTTTGGATGTAAACAAAATACGTCATCGATCTCGACCCACGCATGTTTTAATAASAAATCTTGTCTTTTAGCTGTTAAACGTTTTATGCAAATAGCTGTAAAACCTTATTAAAAAGCTTATTTAAAAGTGTGAAGATCATTAAAATTTATTCCGTTAATTAAAAGCACAAGTACGACAAATTATTATAGACAATTTATCATATGTTGGACGGTTGCCATCTTTGAATCATGTCGAGAAAGAATTGAATTCTGTAAAAAAATGTCTAAAGGCAAAAGTTCGAATATTTTCATTTTATATCAGAAAAATATTTTTTCTTTGATATATGTATTTTTTTAATCAAATGTTTCAAAACGTCCAAATCTGTTTATTTGTTTCTTAAATACATTTAGTAAACAGTATAAAATTCAATCATGCAATATTTTGAGACTTGCAAAGTCTATTTGTAGGAGATATAGAATTCCGCAAGGTGGCGACCGCCATTTGTGCAAGCTAAGGGTAGTATGTATTTTAAACATGGTTTACGTAAGATTTTAAAAATTAAGTTTATTGATATTATAGTGCCTATGACGCTGGACAAAAAAAGTCTTTGTGAGCTGATTCTATAGAATAAATAATTGAATGGTGAAATATTCCTGCATTTCAGTGTTGTGTCTTTGAGTTATGAAGGTTCAATCTTACAATATGTTAATGAAAATGTCGTCAAAGAAGGCTTCACTCGATATACGAACTTTGAAGGAGTCGCTTAAAAATGGTTTCATGACATTAAATTTATCGTATGCAATGTAGGGAATTACCATATTACCAGATGGCGTCCAAATGAAAACATTTTTGAGCGACACTGTTTCAAAGTTTCAAAGTTCGTATATCTAATGAAGCCTTCCTTGACGTCATTATCATTAGCATATTGAAAGATTAAACCTTCAAAACTCAAAGACGCAACACTGAAATGCAGAAATATTTCACCATTTAATTATTTACTTTATATAGAATCAGCTCACAGAGAATCAGAAATTATTTAGTCAGGCGTCATAGGCACTTCGATGTTCTTGCTTTAGTTATTTCAGTTCTTTTCACTAGTAAGCTGAAATTCATGGCTTGATTTTCTTCTCATTTGAACCAGTGAAATAGTCGCTGATCGAAACTTATGATACATAAAAAAATATATAATTGGATTGTAACATGATGCCATCTTTGCAAACATAGCCGCTGCAACGCTGAGCAATGGCGGGCCGTGGTTAGGCGTAAACACCGTTTTTAATGACATTATAGCGTAAGGCGTCCATGCCATAAAGAAAGCCACAGTCATTATAACAGACATGCGTGCAGCTTTTATCTTAGCTTTGAGGGATCGTTTTGTTGGGAGCGACTCCGTGCCCCACCGTAGAGCGGCCTTTTTTATCAATCTGCTGACCTCCAGGTACGTTCTGATAAAACACGAAGCGATGATCACAACGGGCACAAAAAAGAAAAATGTAAACGTTCCAGCAATGTAGAATTTGGGCATTAGAGTACTTGAATACCATTCGATTGAACACCCTGCAAAGCCTGGTTCGGGACTATATGAAGACCAGCCAAACAATGGAAATAAACTCCACGTCAGCGCGAACCACCATAAGCCGCTCACGATCACAAGAATCCTTCGTGGTGAACGRCTRYGAGGCTGTTTTAGTTTAATAGTCATCCAACGTTCGGCCGCAAGGGCAGAAATGTGTAAAATCGAGGTTAAGCTTAACCAAGTTGTCATRAAACCATAGTAGTGACATACTGAAGGAGATAAAGTCCACCATCGCTTAGCRTTGGCATAGGCTCCGACAGGGGAGGCGAGTACGTTCACCATCAAGTCACATAGTGTCATGCTTAATAGTATAAGATTTGACGCTCTCAGAAGACAGGGATTTTTTAAGAATACAATGAGTGCACAGCCGTTTAAGGAAATTGCAGACACTCCAATTACACAGTAGGTAACTGCGATAGGATTGTAGTAAAACGTTGGAAGCAGTGGAACTCGRGAYCTATTCATCACGGGTTTTCTGGGGAGGAAAATATTAAAATGTCAAAATTTTCTTAATATTTAGCCTGTCATTGAAATTTCAGAATCTTGTATGATGTAAACTTAAAAGCGCTGTTACTGCACGGAATTTTCTTGGCATCTGCTTGTCTATTTTCGTGCACTGCTGTTAAACAAGCTACGATAGAGCTACACAAAGTCATGGYTGCGCTCACCGTAGCACGAAGTTCAAACCAAACCTTTTTTTCTCACTGAACCAACTTTTAACGCTTTTCCAMACTGTATCAATGCTTCCAACAGCTCCTTGCATGAACTCTAGAATGCGCATTTATACATTTGTGAGATCTCCACAAGTGGCTGAGGAAATGTCACAGTGATACAGCACTTTCAAATCAATAGTTCGACAACAAATTAAATGAATTGCTTGCTGTCACATCAAAGTGTAGACTGTAATTTACAATGCCAACAGTATTTTGAAAGTATTTCAATAATGACCGCCCCACTCGGTGTGCTACGATGCAGATGTTTCTTAGCGATGTTAAAAGATTGAAAAAATGTTTTCGGTTCGCATTCAATTATCGTCAAAGCCGATGTCTCAATATTCACGTAACATGCTGTGAATATCACTGCATATAGAGGAACATAATGTTGATATCAGTTATAATTGACGATATATGGAACAAATATTCCGCAAATAATAATTGGCACAATGGAATTTCTGGCCGATATCTGAAGTCATCAGTTAAAGTGGAGGCAAAACGGGACTAATTGTTTATTGGTGCTGCTATAGGTCTTCTAGTGTCTGAATATTATGCATTGTGTCATCTGAGATAAGAAAAAAAGGTGTTATAMATAAAACTTTCTCTGTTTTACGTTGTGCGTTACCAAGATTGAAATCCTTTAATTGCGTGCTAACTTTTCTCCTCTCTGCGGGTATAATTAACTTGAAAGTGTACGCTATCGACCAATCAYAGCACAAATGATGGGCATATCATCACATGTGATCGCTATAAAATATTTAATCGATAGTGCTAGACAACATATCATTGCTATAAATATTTATACTTAAAGTGCTTAAAAACGATAAAATCTATCATATTTAATACATTAAGACGTAGTAAACTTTATCATATATAAAATAACATATTTGTAAATGACAGATTGTTGAAATTTAACGAATAATGCAAGACGATATTTATGCATTTTTCTACTTATTCTTTTCTTTTTTTCTTTTTCTTTTTTTTTTCTTGCTTTCTTTTTTTGTACAGTAACGTACAACCAACTGAGCGCTTCAAAAATAATTTCCTTATTAAAACTGATATAATATCATATTTGCAATATTAAACCATTATTTAGTTTCATTGTTTTGTCTATTCTCGCTGTAGATAATAAAAGAAAATAAATGTGTTATTGTGAGCAAATWTTACACCTCAAATACAGACGTTATTGAGGTTTGCAGTAAAATAAAACCAAAAAAATAAATAAAAAGCTGGAATCACGGATTACATTCTCTGAATTATAAAGATTTTCTAAATTTTATACAAGTGTATGGAAAATGTATAGCCTCCTAACATTCATTTCTCTACACTAGTCGAATTTAAGCACATTTTCATATTTTTTCGATTTTCATTGAAATTTTGCTTTAGAGTTTTTACACAGTTTCCAAGTGAAACATATACACTACTTCCTTCTGACGTTTAGTGGCCATTTTGGATATAGAGGATATTACATGGGGGCGCGGAGATACGGATTTTATCTTCTCGATTGTTGAAAATATTTCTCACAGAGTGAGCGTAGCGAGATTTTCAACAAGGAGAAGATAAAATTCGTATCTCCGAGCAACCACTGTAATACTCTTTTTATTACATGTGAAAGCAAATTATATCTTAAAATGCATTTTTTTCTTTTATCCACTACATAGAAACCCCTAATGTGTTATCTTCACTAGTGAAAATAGCAACTTTACGAAATGGAGAAATCAAGCCGTGTTTGCCATAGATAACTATAT